GACCGGTTCACCCACCACCCGTATCGGATGTGCACATGATCATGATCCCGACACTTCAACGATTGTAGCGTCCACGTAATGAAGAACAGATACAACCATCAGCACTGATGACACACAATTCTCCGCGCACTGCACCTGCAGTACACACCGCGTGGATGTCAAGTGCATCCGAAATCGCTGCGAGGATCGGCGTGATATCACCATCAAACTAATTACCCTTGTGCGTATGCAGTACCGTCGTTGATGACGCTGAAGCTGCAAACCTACACTTTCATCGGGCAATTGATCAATGTGGAGACTACAACATCATGGCTTTCGCAAGCTCGACTGGAATGCGTAGAAGTGGATTTGTGCAAAAGTTAAATGCATGCCTTTGATAGTCTTGGACTGGCTCTGTTGTGAGCTACACAGAAAAGCTTATCGTACCCGAATTGTTGCGGCCCATCGGCCTATCAAGATCTTGTCCAGGTGTCATGAAATCGACTGTCTCCACATTAAGGCGATGGAGTCGGGTATTCAACGCGGAGCTTCACCGGAACGTACGTGCCCGCACCTCCACTTCGGGGCAGCGTGTGTAACGGGATTACGCGCAAGTGGCTACATGTTGTCACTTGGTTACGAAGGGTTTCCACATTGGTGTGTACTACATCAATGGTTACATTTGGCAGACGACTGGTCTGCACGCATTTAGACTTCCTATTGGTAGAAAGTCAACATCTTCCTTCCAATTACAGCAGTAGGATCTTGATAACACTCGCTAGCAAATACCTTTCATAGACAATATCACTTTAGGAGGAAACTCAAACAAAGACATAAATCATGAATAACAGTTCTCATTTACCGAAAATTGGCCTTTTATACTTATTTTAGTAAATCTAACTTTCGTCTGGAAGTTTAGTTGATTTAAGTAAAATTATTTTAACGCTTCCTCATACACGTGCGCGCACGTGTAAGCTAAAGTAGTGGGCAGACGCTAGGCCCATTACAAGAACCATTTCAATGAACTTGAGAATGAATGCC